GTCCACCATCTGTCTTTCTGCTTTCTGGTGGTCAAACATTCTCCTTGCGGTGGGGGAGATGGTGAGAGAAAAGTGGTTGATACCCACTGACCTTGACTTCTAACCTGCAGGGCCACACTGATGAAAAGTGAGATGATGCAGAATGCTGGTGGAACAACTCTGCCCATACAGTTTCATTTATTATTTTTTTATTTTTTTATTTTTTTGCAATTAAATGCTTTCTATGTTTATTTTAGACTTTCAAAAGTTGTACACTACAAATATCTGATACTGCATATGTCTGTGTTTTACAGTGAATTACCATTGTGTATGAAATGTGCTATATAAATAAACTTGCCTTGCCTTGCCTTGTGTTTTAGCAACTGTAATAGCTGTGGTAGCATATTCAGCTGTGCTACCAAAGTCTCTGGCAGTGAAAAAGTTTTTGCAGATTTGCAGTTTGTTGAAGTTTTTAGTGTTATGGCAGCCCCTGTTCACTTTCATCATTTATTCATGCTGTTGTTTTGCTCTCCTCTGAGGCACAGCATAGGGGAATCAAACACTCTCACTGATAACAGCATGAAAAAAACGAATTTCACTTAATTGTAAATATTTTTCTTCTAGTGTTATTTTATGTTAAATATGTTTGTGCATGTGTGTGCATCAGTGTTATTTAGTATTATTTCTATTCTATTATAGTATTTATTAATATTAGAATTAGTTTTTTTTCAGTTTATTTTATCTTTAGTTTAACTTGTAATAATGTTGTTATGTGCTTTTTGTCATTATTATTATTATTATTATTATTATTATATTTTATTTCAGTTTTAGTAGTAATTAAAACTTTTATTTCAATTAGTTGCCAAAGCAATATTACTATATTTGTTTTTCAGGTTTTTATTTAAAATTAAAACCTTTTATATTTACATTAATACATAAAAACAATTAAATGTATAAATAATATTAATATTTTATTTTATTGCAATTTAATTTCAATTAACACATTTTTATATTTTTAGTTTTAGTTTGTTTAGTTAACAGAAATAAAGTTGGTGTGTGTATGGATGCAATGGCATAAATGTCAATACTGCCCTACAAAGACAAAATGCAGTAACTACACCAACACTGAAACTGGATTGTTAGATTGTTGATAGATTGTTTTCTTAATCTGAGCATAGTTGAGTTAAACCTATCTGTCATTGGTTATAGATCAGTCTCTAAGAGGCACAATTTAATCATAATTCAGTTATGACTACATGTGAAGTTACTGTGCTTGTATTTGCATGCCAGTATAAATACAAATAGCTGCAAAAAAACAGAGAGCTCTACATGTTTTGGTTGTTGTGTGTCTTGCTTTGTCATTTGAGTAACAGGTTCCACAGTTACAAGAGCAGGCTGCAGGCTAATAGTGTAATCTAACACAAAGTGTCGACCGGGTGCTCTGGTGTACCGCCCCACGCTGTCCAAAAATCATTTAGTCAGAGGTGACCAGATCTAAGGCCTGCTGTGGTCTCTATGATTGGATTGAGAAGTTGGGGAGTGATTCATCATTGTTAATACACTGCTGACAGCTGGAATCAGTAGGGCCAATGTCCGTGCCAACTCCAGCCTTGGCCAGTCACCGCAGATGCATGCAAAATTTACACAATTACCACAGCAACAAGTGCCAGTAAGGGAGCAGGTAGATGGGGCAACCACATAATTACTCTGTTTTTAAACAGCTGGGAGGGATGCACACAGGAGACAGTAATAAATTGACTTTTAGGAAATAGTAAATCACTCTGCGATGATTTATAAACAGCTGCTATACAACTATAATGACTAAAACTACTGACTAATCTCCATTTTAGACTTCTTTGTTCTGTAAATCTGCTTTTTAATAATATTCATTATAAAATGTTGGGTATAAAAATGTGTGCGTTTTTTCTCATAGCCAGGCATAACTCAATTTTGACAGAAGATTAAAGCACATCAGTATAGTGGAATATACAGTGGGGTCCAAAAGTATGAGACCACATTGAAATTCAAGGATTTAAAATCTCAATCAAACCTGGAATTAAACAAAGTTTTGTGGTTTTCATTCATTCATTCATTCATGAATAAATAAAATTGGGTCATTAATCAAAAGTTTTATGGTCAATAAATACTAATATATCAATAATATAATAAATTTGTGTCGCCAATCAAATAAGTAAATGTGTCACTGATCATGTGATCATTTGTACAGTCAAATGTTCTTCCATTTAAACTCAAGATGCTTTCGGATTATTCTCAAATCATACTGGAAGTCATTATCATCAGCTTTTTCATTTTAACTCGAACTGTTATCCTGAAATTTCTAACAAATAAAACTGTATTAAATGTAAAAAAAAAATTAATAATACAAATTAGAAGCATTTCATTAGTGGTCTCTGACTTTTGGACCCCAATGTTTGTGGTGTTCTCCAGACAATTGAGAAATTTGTCTGGAAATATCTGGCAAATTTCATCTGTCGCTCAGCGTTTAAAGGCTTTCAATATAAAGAGGAATCAGCTAGCACAGTCTCACCAAGACCTCTGGTTCACAGAGAATTTGGCAAGCACTTGGTAGAAGAGGAAAAGAGAGGCTGGCGGGGCATGAAAGAACAAGCAATAGAAAGGGTGAGAAAAGTTGCAAATAAATGAAAGGTGAATGCCAGGGAAAAGAAACATTAATACATGATTTTTATCTCAGCATGCCTCCAGCTCTTCTAATCATGCCTTTGCTTCATGACCTACAATTGGACCAGACTAGCAGCATCGCACTTCCTCTCAGAACATCTCTCTGTTTTATTCTGTTTGTATAATCACAGCTGCTCTCCACACATATTCAAGGACCTACAAAAATAAATAAATAATATAATAATTAAAAAAAAAAAAAAAAGCTGCTCTGGTATCCAGCTTTCCTGGCTGTGTCCATGTCTTACAAATGATCAACCCCCCTCACTCGAATCCTCTGTTGTGCTCTCATTTCACTCCTTTTTATGCTAGAAATATAAAGTCAAGTACAAAGGCCTCCCATGGTCACAGGAATATCATTAATTTACCATTAATTCCAAGTCTCAATATTTCATAGACTACAGAGTAAATATATTCTCATTGTTGTTGAATTGTTATTCCTAGAAAATCAATTTTCTATTTTTTAATGTTTATAAATGAAGATTTCATTTGTAAAAAACGATAAATGCCACATTTAAAAAAAAATGAACTGACTGCCGTGTGTTATTCTCCACATATAGCACGTTCTGAACCCTAAACACGTTTTGTCCACTGTCAAGGCATCGCGAGTTCGCGTTTTACAGCAGCCTTGTTGTTTGTGAACACAGCTCGATAAGTCCTTTTTAGCGAATCAGCGCACAGTATTCAGGTCAGCTGATAAGGCTGCTAGTCACTTCGAAAAGACATGCTATGAGAGGAGTCTCGTCAAAGCTGACAAAGTGATCGAGGATGGATAATTTCGACAAGCTTAATGAACCTGTGATATCTTCTTCGGGGCGTAAAAGGAAAATAAAAGCTGATTTTTCACGGAACCTTGCTAAAGCAGCACATTACAGTGGTGAGGGAAAAGCTCCCTGTATTGCGTGTAATCACAACATAAAGTTTGCCAGGCTTCTACATTGTGAGCTGAGGAGATTACAAAGATTAACCGAAACTTTTAATATATATATAAAAAAACGTTTTCAATAAACTTCAATTTTGTAAGTTACCTGTATTTTTCTTTTAGTTATTATTACTTAATCAAAACAACCCAACTGCAGTTTGATTGATATTGCTTGGAATGCACAATAAAAAAACATGATTTAGGAAAATTAATAAAAACTGTGTTTTTATCAGTTTTTGCAAATGAACTCTTCATATGTATTTTTTTATATATATATTATAAATGTTTAATATGTACAGGAATAGTTTTTGGTAATATGGTTTATTTTTGCATTTCTCATGGAACCTATTGCTATGGGTCTTTATGCAAGTGAGTATCACAACTTAAAGTACTGTACAGCACTCAAGAGGATCTTTGACTTTCTGTTATTGTCTGTGTTGCACTGCATCCAACTCTCCAGACAAACACTGTAAAAACCTTCAGTTGTTAGCTTAAGATGTTTCCACAAAAATATTAAGCAGCACAACTGTTTTCAACATTGCTAATAAATGTTCACTTGCTAATAATAATAAATGTTCACTTACATACTACCATATATATATATTTTTCCAAGTATACAGTACACCTGTGACTTGTTGCATCAGTGTTTTGCGCTATTTGACTATTCTTCCTCTTCCATGGCCTCATAGGATAGTAAAATGTCCATTGATTTCAACTTTTCCACATACTGTTTCATGAACACTGCACACTCGGATGTGCTGCTTTTGAAATTCTATATATACTTTATTATGGAAGAACACATATTCAGATGCTGGGTTTCGACTTCCTTGCTCTTGTTTTTTTTTTAGAACTATACTCCCATAATTCTCTTTTGTGTCACCTTTGCTTTATGTTCCCGTTTTAACCTTGCCATCTCCTTTTCTGTGCCTGTGAATGCATCTTCTTCTCATTTTTATTCACAGTCTTTGGGTCCTTTGGTCTAACTAGCTTGCTTATTCTTTTTGTTGGGTGTGCCTGGTTGTCAAATCCTTTTGTGTCTTTTCCAGCTTTGTATTATATGGCTTTAATCTTGTTTTTGTCTCTGTGCTTCCCCAATGTACAGCTCTTCGTCTTTGTGTTTAGCTGAGCATTGTCTGTTTTAGATGTGCTGTTAATTGCTCTTCAATGTGATTGATGGACTTTCATTACTACGATAGCAAAAACTTTCCATTAACAAATCATATGTATCACAGTAGCATCTGAAGAGCTGGAAAAACAACAAGCTTATTCTTCCTTTGTTAAATAATTTAACAGAATCAATTAATATAAGCCCACCATATGTTCTTCCTAATCTTAGTTGGCGTCCTTTAAAATAACTTTCACTTGACTAAGTTAAGACTAAGTACAGTGAGTCTCTTTGCAGAGGGAGGGACTAGTGGCGGTCCCTGGAGCAGTCCCATCACCGTGGCCCCAGGGAGAGGGTCCAAGGGCAGGTCAAGACCACTTGAGCCTCAAGACCCCAGTAGAAACAGGAGGGCGCACCCAAACTGGGCTATTCTTGGTAAATACGTCATTCATATACATGAAAACTACTGGAGTAAATGGATGACTATGCATGCCTTTAAAAAAGCGAAGCATTTTCCATTGTGTGCCATGAGTTTATAGCGACGTTGGTTTGTAATTTTGGTACACATGGTGTGAAAAGGGGTTGCGTTTTCACTTTGTTGTAGGCGGTTGAGGGAATAGAAAAAGAAGGTGAACAGATTAAAAGTACAGTGATACAGTTAGTTCTGTTGAACTAAGACAAGAATTATGAATACAAACTAAAGCATATTTGCAAAGAAACTGTTTCAATTTTGCAAATAAGATGAGCAGTCCCTTTTGCCATACTTTTTTTTTTTAAACAGAATTTTAAAAAATACTTTAAAAACATTTAGTTTCAGTGACTTTGGGAGCATAATTTTTATGTTTTCTTAAATACTATTATGTAGCATTAATGGAACTTAAACATATTTGTTTGCAAGCAAATGAACACCATCATTGATTATTGATATCAAACAGATGTAACAATGGAAGGGCAAAATAAGGTATGAACTCGTTCAACTAAACAGGTAGTGTTCCAAGTTGCCTGCCCGCCATCTATTGATCACAATATTTTCATATTTGGCATTTAAGTACTTATTTTTTGTATTCATAAAACATGTCATAAGTACTGTAAACTGAGAATGTATGTATATCTGCCTTGAAACAAGTCAAGTGTTGCCCAAAATTTGGCAGAAACTAGAAGCAATTGGTACATTACTTTTTTGCTCTGTGTGACGTTGTATTTTCAACACAAGCAGCATGAATCTGGCGATGGAGATATAAGTGCTTGCTCGGACATTCTCCATCTCCGCTCACACCCTTTCCATCTCTCAGCACAATTTGCCAAAAACAGCAAATAAAGTTAAATGGCATATGGTGAATCATTTACATAAGTTAAACAATGATCAACAACAGCTCTTCCATTACTTTTCTGTACGACTAGTTGACTGTTGAAAATGAGTAGTGGTGCAAGACCTGGGTAAGTCATTCAGTTGGCATTATTTGGGTCGCAATTACTCAAGAACCAAATGTGTGCAATTCTTATGCCTGTTTGACAGGAAGATGAAGGAAGCTGACAGAAAATGTTGCATGGTGATATATGAAAATTACACACAACTTTGTTCTCAATAGTAGGAACAAAGCTAGATCTCTATGCCTTTGGAAAAAAAACTCTTTATCTCCCTTTTGGAGTAAACAAAGCTGTAAAATACAAAATGGAATATAAAGTAGAGATTAAGAGGCTGGAGTTTTGGCTCTGAGTGAGACCCCAGCGTTCGTACAGGATGAATAATTTAAGCGCCTGCAATATTGTGTGTGCTGCAGAGGAGGACGATTTCCCTCTTATACTATTGAACAAGTGGTGCTCATTCCCTTGGCCTCGGATGCTGTTTTCTGAGTGCCACAGCGGACTGATTTGTCATTATTGTCATTTTACAGATAAATGTTATCTGTAGAGGCTCTGGCTGCCTTTTACCTGTTGACTCAAAACAAATGGAAAACTCAGGCCCTGATTTAAATTGTATGATCTCTTTTCAAAAGCTAGAAAGGTGGGAGTGTTATTGGCACGCTGTAAACTCTAAAGGTTATGAAAAAGAATATATGGAAATGTGATGTCATAAGTTTGATTTTAACCCAACAGAACAGTGACAAGAGATCTTCAATATGGCAGCATTATTCAGATTTTGTCTTGAATAGCAATTTTATGTACAATGAATATGAATGGAAGACTTGAATTAGTATGCCGTATGTGACAGGGAACACCTCAGGGAAACATTAATGCATACAGAAATACACACGCACATTCACACGTATATCAACTATTCCCCTCAGATCTTTGCTACACTGTAATTGTCAGGGCACAGATACAGAAATAGGTCAGATAATCTAACCATTTCATATTTAACATGGATCACGGTGATCGGCTAGTCATTTAACTGCAATTAGTGAGGTCATCTATCTATATATTAGTATATTTTTAGGCAGCTTTAATCGCCTTTTTGATAGCTGCATGCTCATAGCTTCTTTTGTGCTTTAATTTGAAATTATATACAGCACACGCCGCCGCATTTGTGCATGCAATTGAACAAAGTCAGCACTCGTTTAACTAGCGCCTGCCTCTGAGGTGAAGCTGGAGTGCACGTCTGAAAAGTCTCCCGTTTGATGTGGTCGTAAAGACATTCTGCGTCTAAATAAACGCAATTCTTGTCAATAAAAAAATAGACAGTATGGTGGCCAACCCTAGCTTCGCCCCTGCGTTAATAGACTTGATCGGTGTCGCGTCATAGCTGTGCATTGGAAAAGCATGGTGTTGACTCAGAATGGCCTACATAAAATTATTTCTGCCGCTCGACAGAGCAACATACGGATAAAAACTGAGCTGTATTGGGGTCGGACTGTCCGTACGTTATCTGTGACTGGACAAACGACCCAACGGAATGGCCAGAGGTGTCGTTTCCCGGCATTTTTTGTTTCCTAATTGAGCAAGAGACAGCTTAGGCTACTACAAGCCTATACGAGACGGCTTGTGAAAGTAAACATTTGTCATTTTGTTTTGCTTAATTTTAATAGGGATAAAGACTTAAGTAAAAGCCTGTTGTACTTATTGATATATTAAAACGTTTTTTAACATTGACAAAACAGGTAACATTAAGGTCCACTGAAGTGCCTTGAAATGTGCAGCGTTATTCTATGTGGTGTGTGCTGCGCCTGCCTAATCATTTTCACAAATACATGCCTTAAAATACAGATAACGAAAATATGTATATAAAATACCAAAAAACATGGTTATTGGTTACTATAGATAAACCATGGTAAAACAACATGTTTTGCTACACTAACCATAGTTTAACCATGGTATATGTAGTAAAACTGTGGTTATTAGCGATACTGGTATCGGTATCGGGCCCGATACTGAGCTCCTGTACTCGTACTCGTTAAAATGCCCCGATACCAAACGCCAATACCATACAGCATGTGTTAAGTGCCATATTCAGACAATGAAATACCAACAACAGACAGCAGAATGCTTGCTCGGACATTCTCCATCTCCGCTCACACCCTTTCCATCTCTCAGCACAATTTGCCAAAAACAGCAAATAAAGTTAAATGGCATATGGTGAATCATTTACATAAGTTAAACAATGATCAACAACAGCTCTTCCATTACTTTTCTGTACGACTAGTTGACTGTTGAAAATGAGTAGTGGTGCAAGACCTGGGTAAGTCATTCAGTTGGCATTATTTGGGTCGCAATTACTCAAGAACCAAATGTGTGCAATTCTTATGCCTGTTTGACAGGAAGATGAAGGAAGCTGACAGAAAATGTTGCATGGTGATATATGAAAATTACACACAACTTTGTTCTCAATAGTAGGAACAAAGCTAGATCTCTATGCCTTTGGAAAAAAAACTCTTTATCTCCCTTTTGGAGTAAACAAAGCTGTAAAATACAAAATGGAATATAAAGTAGAGATTAAGAGGCTGGAGTTTTGGCTCTGAGTGAGACCCCAGCGTTCGTACAGGATGAATAATTTAAGCGCCTGCAATATTGTGTGTGCTGCAGAGGAGGACGATTTCCCTCTTATACTATTGAACAAGTGGTGCTCATTCCCTTGGCCTCGGATGCTGTTTTCTGAGTGCCACAGCGGACTGATTTGTCATTATTGTCATTTTACAGATAAATGTTATCTGTAGAGGCTCTGGCTGCCTTTTACCTGTTGACTCAAAACAAATGGAAAACTCAGGCCCTGATTTAAATTGTATGATCTCTTTTCAAAAGCTAGAAAGGTGGGAATGTTATTGGCACGCTGTAAACTCTAAAGGTTATGAAAAAGAATATATGGAAATGTGATGTCATAAGTTTGATTTTAACCCAACAGAACAGTGACAAGAGATCTTCAATATGGCAGCATTATTCAGATTTTGTCTTGAATAGCAATTTTATGTACAATGAATATGAATGGAAGACTTGAATTAGTATGCCGTATGTGACAGGGAACACCTCAGGGAAACATTAATGCATACAGAAATACACACGCACATTCACACGTATATCAACTATTCCCCTCAGATCTTTGCTACACTGTAATTGTCAGGGCACAGATACAGAAATAGGTCAGATAATCTAACCATTTCATATTTAACATGGATCACGGTGATCGGCTAGTCATTTAACTGCAATTAGTGAGGTCATCTATCTATATATTAGTATATTTTTAGGCAGCTTTAATCGCCTTTTTGATAGCTGCATGCTCATAGCTTCTTTTGTGCTTTAATTTGAAATTATATACAGCACACGCCGCCGCATTTGTGCATGCAATTGAACAAAGTCAGCACTCGTTTAACTAGCGCCTGCCTCTGAGGTGAAGCTGGAGTGCACGTCTGAAAAGTCTCCCGTTTGATGTGGTCGTAAAGACATTCTGCGTCTAAATAAACGCAATTCTTGTCAATAAAAAAATAGACAGTATGGTGGCCAACCCTAGCTTCGCCCCTGCGTTAATAGACTTGATCGGTGTCGCGTCATAGCTGTGCATTGGAAAAGCATGGTGTTGACTCAGAATGGCCTACATAAAATTATTTCTGCCGCTCGACAGAGCAACATACGGATAAAAACTGAGCTGTATTGGGGTCGGACTGTCCGTACGTTATCTGTGACTGGACAAACGACCCAACGGAATGGCCAGAGGTGTCGTTTCCCGGCATTTTTTGTTTCCTAATTGAGCAAGAGACAGCTTAGGCTACTACAAGCCTATACGAGACGGCTTGTGAAAGTAAACATTTGTCATTTTGTTTTGCTTAATTTTAATAAAGCGATAAAGACTTCCGTAAAAGCCAGTCATACTTTCTTATTGATATATTAAAAAGATTTTTAACATTGACAAAACAGGTAACATTAAGGTCCACTGAAGTGCCTTGAAATGTGCAGCGTTATTCTATGTGGTGTGTGCTGCGCCTGCCTAATCATTTTCACAAATACAT